TGAGCGCGCGCTCGTCGGCGCGACGGTGGCGCCGCCCTGGCTGCGCGCGCGCCGCCGACGCGCGCGCGACGGCGATGATGCGCGCGTAGCAGGGCACGATGACGGCGAGCGGCACGCCGACGCCGATAGTGAAGAGGTACGGCTGAGCGTCGCGGCCGTCCTTCGCGAGAAACGAACAAGAGAACGTCTCGGCGACGTATCCGAACTCGCCCCACGCGCCGGCGTACGTCGGCATCAGCATTGCGCCGGCGAACGCCCAGCAGAAGACGATCGCTGCCGCCGTGGCGCCGCCGCCGGCGCACGCGCGCCGGTAGAGGGCGCCGTGCACGACGACGAGATAGCGATTGACGGCGATCATCATCATCGTCATTATCGACACGGCCAGGTTGCCGTAGAAAACGAGCGGGAAGGCCCGGCAGAGGGCGGCGCCGAGCGTCCAGGCACGGCGCACGTAGCGCGTCGCCTGCACGGGCAGGCTGACGGCGCAGAAGATGAGGTCGGCGATGGCTAGGTTGACTACGAGCTGGTTGGTGCTGCTGGTGCGCAGCGGACGCGAGCGCAGCAGTGCGGCAACCGTCAGCAGGTTGCAAGGCACGCCGACAACGACGTAGAGCACGCAGAAGAACAACGCCACGTGACACAGTGCCGCAGAGTAGAGCACGACGGTGGCGCCATTGTTCGCACCGGCCGACGCGTTGTACGCGCTGATGTTGTAGCGCCAGTCCGATAGATCGGACGCGATGACAGACTCCACGACCATCATAGCTCCTTCAGTGTGCTGAGGGAGTGTCAGGCTCTATTCACTTTCAGTCTGCAAAGCGTCCTCTGATCATTGTAAACGTGCACAGCGCTCTCTTCCTATACTCATATATTCAGCTTACAATGCGCTCTCTACTCATCCACAGCTTACAAAAGCGCTCTCTATCCACGATCCGCTTGCAAAAACGCCCTCAATTCACGTTCAGGTTACAAAGCGTCGGAAGAAGAATCTAATAATATTCTTCTTCGGTATTATTTCACAAGCGTAAACATTTTGATCATTATAATCAACAAACGATCACGACAAGAGACGCGACTGCATGATAAGAGTTCAGATATACACACGCACCGCAACGTACTCCTACGCTATATCCAGCGTTTCCCGCCATGTTTGTGTCTTCTTGAGCTCCTTACCGGCGCGACCAGCGTACGTATTTGCGTAGAGTATAGAGTATAGATGAAAGAACTCTGTCTGTCTCTCTGTCTTTCTGTCCCTGTCTCTCTCACTCGCCCTCCCTCTTATGTCGCCCTCTCTCCCTCTCGTGCGCGCGCTCTCTCTCTCTTTCCCCCTATGTATCGGTCTCTCTCTCTTGCTGTGTATCGGTCTCTCGCTCCCTACGTATCGTTCTCTCTCTCTCTCTTTCTCTCTCTTGCCAAACAATACTCTCTCTGCTAGCACCTAGCGACCAGGTCGTGGAGCCTGCCGAGAGTTCTAACAAGTCCCGGCTCGCGCCTCAGCGTCTACGTACAACCTCTCTCTATGCGCGCCAACAGGCGCTCCAGCTTTAGCATATATAATATATATGACCGGCCGACGCAGCCAGTCAGATGAGCGACCGGCTGCATCAAGCCAGCGTACGCACACTCCCTCAGCCGCGCCCCACCCACCCACGCACGCACCACCTTCGTTTAATCTGGATTAGGGCTAGACATTCCTTATTCTTAGGTCATGTCTGCAATTAGTCTACGGGTGCAAGGCATGCTAACAGTAATGAGGAGGAACTAGTCGCTCTCCTGTTTGCCACTCACGTTCTCCCCCACCCTCTCGCTCCCTCTCTCTCTCTCTCTCTCTCTCTCTCTCTCTCTCTCTCTCTCTCTCTCTTGTTTTTTCTCTCTCTCTCTCTCATTTTCTCTCACTCGCACCCT